GCATCATCAGCTTTCTGGCAAGTCCCATTAGACAAAGAAAGCACCAACCTGTGCACCATTGCGACTCCCTTTGGAAGATTCCGGTTCAAGCGACTTCCCTATGGATTGAACAGTGCATCGGAGGTATTCCAGCGATGCATAAACAATATCCTTTCAGGTCTCCAGGGAACTGCTTGCTATATGGATGACATCTTGATCTATGGAAGCACAATGGAAGAGCACAACCGAAACCTTGAAACAGTTCTTCGAAGGTTGGAAGAAAATAATGTCAAGCTCAATGCTAAGAAGCAGCAGATAGCTGTCGAAAAAGTAAATTTCTTAGGCCATATAATCAGTCGAGATGGAATAGCCATTCAAGCTTCAAGAGCAGAGGCAATACAAAAGTTGAAAAGACCTGAGAACAAGACTGAAGTCCAAAGATTCTTAGGTATGGTAACGTACCTTGGCAAATTCATTCCTAATCTGTCTGACAAGACTGCACCTCTAAGGAAATTGATAAGCAACAAGAGTGAATGGAAATTTGGAGGCGAAGAAAATGATTGTTTTGAAAAACTCAAGAATATGGTTTCGAATGCTCCAATATTGACATTTTTTGACCCAACCAAGCCAATCACCATTTCATCTGATGCAAGCCAATATGGTATTGGTACAGTGCTCATGCAAGGGGGACAAGCAATTGAGTATGCGTCCTTCAGCCTGAATGCAACTCAAAGAAAATACGCACAGATAGAGAAAGAACTTTTGGCTATAGTCTTTGGATGTGAACGCTTCCAGTATTATATTTGGGGAAATGATGTTATTGTGGAAACTGACCACAAACCTCTCCTGAGTATTGTTAAGAAACCTTTAGAAAAGCTTTCCCCAAGACTGCAAAGAATGGTCTTACGTCTCATGAGATTTCAAATATCTTTGAAGTTTACACCAGGGAAAAACATGTTTGTAGCTGACCATCTGTCTAGAGATCCATTAAAAGATGAGGTGGACACAAGCTATTTAGAAGGTCAAACTGAATCAGTGCACATGTTGCTGGTTACCACAGATGAAAAAATAAAGAGACTACAAAAGGAAACTCATGGGGACCACACCTTGATACAACTAATAGAGTATGCGAAGAATGGATGGCCGAAATATAAAACTAAGGTCTGCGATGAAGCAAAACCCTACTGGCAATTTCAAGATGAAATTCATGTGAGTGACGGGATTGTTTACAAAGGAAATTGCATCATGGTGCCATCGACTCTTCGAAAAGAAATCCTGCAGGTTGTTCATTCATCACACCAGGGCATAGCAGCTTCCAAAGAAAAAGCAAGATCAGCATTTTACTGGCCCGGCATGATAACACAAGTAGAAAATGAAGTGGAAAAGTGCAGAACATGTCAGGAATATTCAAGAAAGAATCCTGAGGAGTCAAGAATAGCTCATGAAATCCCTGAATTTCCATGGGAAAAAATTGCTGTAGATTTCATGGAGGTGAGTGGAACCAGTTCCATCTTGGTTGTCGATTACCACTCAAAGTTTGTTGAAATCCGGAAATTATCAAGCAAAAGAGAAACCGAAACCATCATGCAGTTGAAAACCATTTTCAGGACTCATGGAATTCCAAGAACTCTAGTTTCGGATAATGGACCCCCTTTTAACTCTACTGGATTCAAAAATTTTGCTCAGAAATATGAATTCAAACACCAAACCTCCAGTCCCAAATATCCAAGATCTAATGGACAAGTTGAGAGGACAATTCAAACCATCAAAGGACTGATAATTAAAGCTGTGAAGTCAGGAAGAGATCCCAATCTGGCTTTGATGGAGTTCAACAACACACCTAAGTATGACTTGCCATCTCCGACCCAAATGCTTATGGGAAGATCTGTGAGAACTCTTTCGACATACACCCGACAACAGTTGAAACCACTGTTTGACACAACAAAGAATTATCAAAAATTGAGAGACCATCAACAAAAGTATGCAGGAAGTCCAAAGAGAATTTTGAGACCTTTGGAAGTAGGAGACAACATCATGTTGCAGGAAAGGCATAGAAAATGGGTTCCGGCAACAGTGACCGCAAAGCATGAAAATCCACGCTCATATATGGTGAAAACACCAAGTGGTTCTGAATACCGCAGGAACAGGTCTCACCTTAGACCGAGAAAGTTCAGTGTAGAAGATTCTGCCCCAACAAGTCAAAGTCCAAGCATTCCTGAATCTCAAGCAGGGACAGCCATGGATGACAACATACAAGATCACGGAAGACCCACTTCCGAAAACAGAAGAGCATATGATCCAAGGGAGGCCATTGCCAAGAAAGGTGAAGAATCATCTACTTCTCCTAGTGTGCGAACCCGCAGTGGTAGAACAGTGAGAAAACCTTTGCGTTATAGAGACTAGGAGAACTGCAATCCTTTTTTATTTTTGTTTAAAGGAAACATGTTATGATTGATCCGGCAACACTGCCGACTCGACTTGTAAACACTCTTAGATATATAACCATGTTATAAAAAATAGATGTTAATAAATAAATACTTAGTTCAGTTGCATTCTGCGTGATCAAATAGACACAAGAACAACATAAATAACAATGGTATTTATCTTAAATACGTTTTATCCACTGTTGAAGAGAGGGTGCGCTGGTAAGGCGGGTATTATTGTGTCAAATAAAATTTCATATAATAGTCAATTCTTAAGAAACCAGATATAACTTGCTTTTCTTTTAACCAAAATATAAGACATCAGATATCAAGAATAAAAGTGTGGCTTGTGTGTATGGGAATAACTTTTACGCGACCCCTCAGTCAGGAAGGCAGTCCAGAGAATAGAAGAAAGTAAAACATCCACAAGGGGAATGACTTTCGTCTTTAATTCTTACACATAAACTCTCGCCAGATATCCGACCTAAATACAATAAACATTCTGGGGTTCCTCAGGGAGATGTATCGGGCTGGTCTGTGCCCACCAAAAATTAGATTTGTGGTGTGTCGATTTATTAGTCCAGCGATGGCTCAGAAAGTATTTCAAAGTTAGTGTTTTATTGGTATTACTTATCAGCTACATTTTTAGAGGAAGACAAGAAGGACAATACCCTAGAATGTCTATTCTGGTTCTCATTCACTTCCGCTAATCTGCCGCGCCGCACATGGTCATCTCCTATTTCATGTCCCCCGCTTGTATGTTTGCTGACGGCGTGGTCCTCATCCCAGCAGGCAGGAAGGAAGTCTCTCGGCCCCCACAGATTCAAGCAAAAATATTCTCCTTTTGGTAGAATTGGATTTATTGTATCTCTCAAGACTTCCCTCAAAGACTGTTAATCAGCATGAAAGCTCGTCATGAGAATTTTATAGCTAGTATAGCTATATGACCAGAACCCTATTGACCTTTAATTTATAGAGATAAGCTGCCTAAATTGTATATATACATATTTGTAATAATGTGAATATTTCATATTTATATATTTTTTTATTAATAGCTTGATATCCATAGTGCGCTTAATTGATTACCCGTGGAATAAACTATTTATGCACCAAAATTCATAAATTTTAATGACTTTGTTCGTTTCAAAATCTATTTTGCGTTTTTTCACTTAATTTTGAATCCCTACAGCGTTGTACAGCGTAGTAAACACTAGCTTGCTTATTCTTTTTAAAAAAATATTCTTGAAATAAAGTTAGGGGATTAATGAAAATGTAATATTACAGAAAATATTTGTATTTTTATAATTTTATAAAATAAAATTCCGAATTTCTTAAAAGTTACAAATTCTTTTATCTCACACACACACACAAATTGTGAAATGATTTAATGAAAAATTGGGCTCTCAAAAATCAATAATAATTATTTACATAAAATAACAAAAATAAAAACAATATTTAATTTATACTTTTTTTCTCCTTTTATGATTTTAAAATGGATTAATACAGATATTTCTATCTATTTAATTAAATTGGTACATTCAATTTGTTTGAAGTTTTAAAATTATAGTGTCATTTTATCAATAAAATATGGTTAGGCATATAATAAATACCATTTAGTTGCCAATTAAAACTATAAGGTATTTATACACAATATGAATATCTTTTGAATTTTCTTACAATATTTAAAGGTATTTTTTTAAAAACGAAATCTAGGGTACAATGTTTATAAAATAATAATTACATGCAACAATCTTCTGATTAAATTCAGAATTCATATATTCTCTCTCTCTCTTATTAATCTGCATATCATTCTTAATATATCGAAAATTCTAGCCTATTAAAAATAATTATAAAGAAAATAGCCTTCATTTAAAAAATATATAATGAAACATAAAGTGAGACAATTTTGACTATTATTTAACAAATAGGGAGTCAAAATTCATAGTATAGTTGTAAAATATTATTTAAAATGTTGAAAAAAATGTACAACCACTGGCATGGTAGAAATTGGTGGTGGTTAAGGGAGGTATTAAAATGAATATTGAAAATTAAGCCAAATGTTAAGTAGGTTAGTGTCATGTTTATTTTAAAAAGAAACTGCCACTTGTGATAGATAAGAGAGATGTTTATAAGAAGTTAATTTAAAAGATGGTGGATTTTGACCAATTAAAATAAAGGCGTTGGAAATAGTCTCTTAGAGAATAGAGATTCTGCTCTATGGATATTCTTCTTCTTTCTTATCTCCACTCAATCATATTAGGCTATCAAGCTTGTAAAGTTGACAACCATCATGACTGGGTGAAGTAGAATGCGTCTGCCTTTGTCATTAAGACTGGGAGAACTACTCAGTGGCAGGCCGACTTAGCTCCAAAAGAAATGGCCGCCTCTGACATGAGGAACAGACACCATGTGCAGCCACTCCTAACATGGAGTACAAATGCTGCTCATCCTGTATCCCTGGATTAGGAGCCCTTACAGAATACTATCAGCTGGGCCAGCTGAGCCCAGGTTTTTTAGCGAGCTTGTTACTGCTCCCCCTCCTCCTTTTTCATCCGGGTTTGGGACCGGCAAAGGCGGAGTTTCTATGGATATTTATAAGCTGAAATAGCTTAGTTGGGAGAGTGTTGGACTTTTTTTTTGCTTATCCCTAGTACACGTGGTACAGGCCATGATAATCATGGTGGGTAGAAGTAGGCTACTGTTTTTACTGTAAGTGTACCACATGTCTACACATATGAAAAGCAGTTCAACTTTGCACTTACAAATATACCAAAGCCCCGTTTGGTTGCTTGCACTCGCTGGTGGGATTAGACTTTTGCATGAATTGGGTGCCATTGGAGCATTTTTTTTTAATCAGAAAAAAAGTGTCTAATGCAGGAATCGAACCCGGGTCGTAGTGGTTGAACATCAAAGGTTTAGACCACCCTTCCACCGAACCCCCAAAAGATGGCCCATGAGGGTACTGAAGATCTAAAGGTCTCTGGTTTGATCCTGGGTTTTGGCATCTTCTGGGGGTAGATGGAAGGATGGTCTAAACTGTTGGTTTTCGACTGCTACGACCCGGGATCAAATCCTGCATAGGGCACCTTTTTCTAATTATTATTTAAAAATCCTCCAATGGCCCCCGATTCTTACAAAAGTCCAACCAGCGAGTGCAAGTAACCAAACGAGACTCTTGCACATTTGTAAGTGCAAAAGTCGAACTGCTTTTCACATGTGTAGACATGTGGTGCACTTACAGTAAAAGAAATCGTCAACTTCTACCCACCATGATTATCAGGGCCTGTATCACGTGTACTAAGGATAATAAAAAAAAAATATTTATATACAGTAGAACCTCCCTTTAGCGGACACCTCTCCACAAAGAACAGTTTTCATTTGCAAAATTACCATTTTGCGTACACCTATACACCTCTATCTAAAGGACACTTAGGTGTCCTTTACAGGGAGGCTCTACTGTATATATATAAACAGTTAAACCTATCTTTAGCGCCCCCTCTAAATAGCACCTTCCTCTCTATAGTGCCCGATTTTAAACATTAAAATGTAAACATTTTACATTAAAAGTGACCTGTCTATAACACCCCTTCTCTATAGCACCTTATTTTGGTGAGTCCCAAGAGGGAGGCTATAGACAGGTTTAACTGTATTTAAAATAAAAAATGGCATTTCCTGACTGCGCTAAAACGAATATTTTAGATGGCAGAGCACCATCTAGTGGAACAAAAATCAACTAAACGTTGATTTAACTTGTTCCAAAGATACAAGGACCAACAGTGGTATACGTACATGGTTGACTTTTCTTGATTTATCTAGAAATTGGGTTGGCCAAATATCTTTGGAACAAACTGAATCAACCTTTAGTTGATTTATGTTCCACTAGATGGCACTCTCTGCAACTCTTAGATTAGAAACACAAAGGTAATAAGACCAGATCCAAATAAATAAGACATGTTGATCTTATATAAGAAAAGAAAGGCATCTCCTTATCGTGCAACTGAAAGTTGCTGATGGTTTGCCCAATCTATCGGAATAAATATCAACTATTCATTGATTTTTCTTCTTCTTCTTCTTTCTTATCTCCACTCAATCATATTAAGGTATCAAGCTTGTAAAGTCTGCACGACGGCCGATGCAGCATAGTGGGGAGATTTGACAACCATCATGATTGGATGAAGTAGAATGTGTCTGTCTTTGTCATTAAGACTGGGAGCACTACTCAGTAGCAGGCCGACATAGCTCCAAAAGAAATGGTCGCCTCTGACATGAGGAACAGATGCCATGTGCAGCTGCTCCTAACATGGAGTACAGACACTGCTCATCCTGTATCCCTGGATTAGGAGCCTTTACAGGGTACTATCAGCTGGACCAGCTGAGCCCAGGTTTTTTAGTGAGCTTGTTACTGCTCCCCCTCCTCCTTTTTCATCCGGGCTTGGGACCGGCAGAGGTGGAGTTTCGTTGATTTTTAATTATTCCATAATTGATTAAATACACAAATACTTGATTAATCAAAAAAGCTAAAAACATAGATGAACGAGCGGTACAAACAGTCGGTTGTAGACCGCAACGACGAATGTTTGGTGTTGTGTTTCTAATCCAAGTTGTCAAAATTCGAAACTATTTTAAAGGCGTAAGATTCTTTTTTGAAATTAAACAATTTCTACTGCCCTTACTGCAATGGAAAAATTGAAGGGAGGGCCTGGCTCATCAGTGGTGAACCCTCCCAGCGGTTTCGCCAGTTTAATCTACCATACCGCTGTTATATTGCATTTTTGGAACTTCCTTTTATAGTGATACTGTTGGTAGACTCTTGGAATGGGTATTTTAGAAGAACTATGGACATAAGCTTTGAGGACAGTAGAATTACATACATTTATAAATATATAATATGCTTCGAGCAATCGCTCTTCCACAAATATCAAATTGTAATCCAAGTTGTAAGAAATGATTGGCTTACATGAAGATACCTCTGTGTGCAGGTGGCAGCACCAGATGGCCCGGCTGGAGGAGGAGCTGTTTGAAGCTGTCAACACCAGTGATGTCGAAGGTGTCAAGTCTTGCTTGGCCAAAGGTGAATATCTTCTTGATTTGATTAACCGCAATTTGGATTATAGATTATAGCTACAAGGAAATAAGGCTTAATTCTATTAAATTAATAGTGTGTGAGGTTTCGGTAACAGAGAGCATTGTTACCATCATCAGACAAAAGAATAAAAATCTGACGTTTCAGTAACATTGTTGTTACCATTAACAGACAAAAGAATAAAAATCTGATGTTTCAGTAACAGCGTTGTTACCATTATCAGATAAAAGAATAAAAATCTGACGTTTCAGTAACATTGTTGGTACCATTATCAAACAAAAGAATAAAAATCTGATGTTTTGGTAACAGCGTTGTTACCATTATCAGATAAAAGAATAAAAATCTGACGTTTCAGTAACATTGTTGTTACCATTATCAAACAAAAGAATAAAAATCTGATGTTTCGGTAACAGCGTTGTTACCATCATCAGACAAAAAAATAAAAATCTGACGTTTCTGTAACATCATTGTTATCATTATCAGACAAAAGAATAAAAATGCATTTTTTATTCTTTTTTTTTTTCTGATGACGGTAACAATGTTGTTACCGAAACGTCGCACGCTATCAATTTATTTGTATTAGGTCATATTTTCTTGTAGCTATCTTCTTGAATTGTATATGTCCACCACCCTGCCCTCAATAATTATTGTTTGGCCATATTGTGTGTGTCAGAGAGTTTTGTAAAAAAACTTCCCTAATACAAATATAATAATAACTAGACGAATGACCCGGGCAACGCCCGGGTTTACACGATTAAATGTATATTACATATGGAAGATGGACGTAGTTCCCGGAGGTCACCCGCAAGGCTTTTTTCTTGTCACCAACTCTGCCCCCACGCGCCATTGGATTGTCCAACCGGCCGGCAGCCGGACGATCATATTATCTCGACGGGGGGGGGGGGGGGGGGGGGGGGGGAAGTCACGTGCTCGCCGGCAGCCAACAGCACTGCTCGTGAGCTAAGTAGAATAATTTGAATATATAGTTTTAATAATTGATTTATATATTTTTTAAAAGCCTATCGTCATCCCCTTAGCTTATATCGACTTAGCTTCAAAAGAAATGGCCGCCTCTGGTATGAGGAACAGATGCCATGTGCAGCTGCTCCTAACATGGAGTACAAACTCTGCTCATCCTGTATCCCTGGATTAGGAGCTCTTACAGGGTACTATCAGCCGGGCCAGCTGAACCCAGGTTTTTTACCGAGCTTGTTACTGCTCCCTCTCCTCCTTTTTCATCCGGGCTTGGGCCCAGCAAAGGCGGAGTTAACAAGCTCTACAAGTTTGATACCCTAATATGATTAAGTGGAGATAAGAAAGAGGAAACAACACACATGCCATGTGTAAATACCCATGTTGAGTGTGGGCCCAGCATGTGATGTGATGTGGCAGGAGCCTCAGTCAACACCATTGTGTACTCTGGACAGACCATCTTGGGCCGGGCGGTGCAGCTGGGCAACCTGGAGCTGATAGAGTCCCTGCTGCAGTATGAGGGACCTCCTCCCCCAGCTCCCACTACCACAGCCCCGGACTCTCCCCTGGAGATACTCTCCCAGGTCTCTTGATTCCTATCTGATGTTTTAATACATGAAAATAAGACCTAATCCAAATAATTTAATAGTGTATGGCGTTTCGGCAACAGCATTATCACCATCATCAGACAAAAGAATAAAATAATTTAGATTTTTTTAAATTCTTTTGTCTGATGATGGTGACAATGCTGTTGCCGAAAGGTCATACACTATTAAATTATTTGGATTAGGTCTTATTTTATTGTATTATAATGCATAATTCAAATTGTACTTTATCATTATCTGATGTTTCTTTGTAGGATCCCATTGTGATGGCATATACTGATCCAGATGTGGACTGTATTTGTTGTTGTTGTTGTTTCTTATCCCCTTGTATTACACAAATTCCATGAGTCCATGTTCTTCAAGCTGTTTGATGATAAACAGGGGCCTCTCCCAAAGTTGATATCTAAATATGAGGTCTGAAGTTTGTATTATGTATAAAAGAAACATTCGTGCTTTTAAATCCTTTCTTTTTATATGAGGTCTATCTGTCTGTCTGTTTGGCTGTCAGGATACACAGAGGTTTCTAGGAAGCAGTTAGGAGTTGAGACTTTATGCTTGGAGAGATTATTCATGGCCACAATAGAGAAAAAAAAAATTAAGGTTTCTAGCTCAAATTTCACTTTGGAGTTACAAGCCAAAAACAATCTTTCATACAGATTCATCAGAGGCAATGCACAAACGTGCACTCCAGGCAGCTACCTGCTTCAGCCGTTATCAAAACCTATTTATGATAGGAATTAATTTGATTTTATAATTCTGCCAAGTGTGTGTGTGTGTGTGTGTTTAACTGGACACTGAGAGTCGATATGTTTTGAAGTTGATGTTTGATGGTTACGATTTATTAAAAGGAGTTACAAAAGAGACAAACCATCAAAGTTCAATTTAAAGATTGACCTATCTGTTATACATAACAATAACAACCCATCTATATAATAAAAATGAAAACACCAAAATGGCGCGAATGTTTCTTTTCACAGATAAATCAAACTTATAGAGCCAACTTCTGAACCCAAGCCCTCTCAATATTTTTTCATCGCAGTAAGGACAGTAGAAGTTTGATTTACATGTGAAAAGAAACATTGTTGTGTTTTGGTGTTTTCATTTGTACCTTTCTGTTACCTACTCTACTACAATTATTGTAAATAGTTTCACGTGCAATTATCCAGATCGGATATAGAGTGTCTTATTTGCAACTGGTAATTGGTATCTGTTATATCAATTTAAATAATATGTTTGTTTTTATACCATTGTGTTGTGCACACTTTAGCTCAACTATTAGCCATTTTTTACTTCAAATATTAAAGTTTAAAGTCCTAATATTGAACATTTAAAATATTCAATTGG